AGGAGCATGTGCAACATCTGGCTCTGGTTCTCCAGGCACTACATGAGGCCCAGTATAAGATCAACAGGGAAAAGTCCTCCTTTGGAGTGACTTCTGTGACTTATCTGGGACATGTAATCTCTGGGGAAGGGCTGACTCTTAAAGCAACAAAGGTTGCTGCGATTCAGGACTGGCCACAACTTACCACAGTGCGTGATGTCCGTTCATTCTTGGGTCTTGCATCATACTACCGAAAGTTCGTTAAGAACTTTTCTGCTATTGCTGCACCCCTAACTGATCTTAGAAAGAAAGACACCCACTTTCTTTGGACATCAGACTGTCAGCACGTTTTCACACGCCTCAAGGAGGCCTTGATGTGTGCACCTGTTCTGAAGTTACCTAACCCTACCTTGCCCTTCATACTAACTACTGATGCTAGTCAGTATGGGGTTGGGGCGGTACTTTAGCAGGATGGTGGGCAAGATCTGCAACTAGTTGAGTACATGAGTAAGAAGATCAAACTCAAGAAACTGCAGGATTCCACGTACGAGAAAGAGCTATATGCTATAGTATCAGTGCTAAAGCATTGGAAGCATTTCCTCATGGGCAGGCACTTCCAGATCTATTCAGATCACTCCACCTTACAGTGGATGAAGACCCAAGGGGAACTGGATGACAAGCTTGCGCGCTACATTCAGTTCATTGATCTCTTCGATTTTGAACTGAAGCACAAGAAGGGTTGCTGCAATCGTGTAGCAGACGCCCTTTCTCGTAGGCCTGACGCTCTCTGCCTGATCTCCTCTACTCATACTTTTGGGGAGAGCACTCGTCAGACTATCGCCCAATTATTGCCACAGGACCCGATTTTTGACCCGATTGTCAGGAATCAGCAAACTGATCCTGCCTCTGAACCAGGGTACATTCTGGTTTCATATTTGTTGTCTACTTGCAGCCGAGGAGAGGAACGTCTGTGCATCCCTCAGGACCGCCAACTGAGAACACTCATTATGTTTTTATGTCATGATGCTCGCGGCCACTTTGGGGCCTTAAAATCGTTGGCAGCCCTGTCGCAGCGGTTCTTCTGGCTAGAGATGAGGAAAGACCTGCTTCACTATGTTGAGACCTGTGAGTTGTGGCAAAGGAACAAGGTCGTTCGCCGACCTCCCCTTGACCTGCTTGTAGCGGACCTCTTGTTGGCCTGTGAGACCAGCCCCTTGGCCTGTTATCACAGGCCTGTGTTCTATTCGGGGCAGTCCAGTCCAGGCCGGTACCTCTGTCGGTACCAGCCAGTCCAGTCCAGTCCCGTCAGTCTGCTGGGGTATACCCCAACCGTTGTCCGTTTCCGATTTCATTCAGCATTCGCACAATTTGGAGTACTTGCGTTGGAGTCTGGCGTGGGAGTTGCGCTGTGCCATCTCACTCCCCTTCTTCCTCCATCTCCATCTCTGTCCCAGGCGGAGCACCACACCTGGTGGGTCCGCCACACCGGTATCGGAGCGGGAACGTTCCCTGCTCCCCCCCACCCACCGCACAGCAGGGAAAACAGCAAAACCCAACAATGGGTTTTTTCGTTGTTTTTCGGCGGTTTTCAACAAAAAACAGGGAAAAAAAAAGAAGAAAAGGTGCAGCGGGAAGCTGCCACGTGGCGAAAAAGGGAGTGCCGTCACGACGCGTGCGCGCAAGCGCCAAGGCCAAGGTCGCCGCACACGCACACGCACGCGTCACGTGCCTATGCTGCCCCGGCCCGCACTGCTCCCGTATTTATATTATCAAGATCCAGGATCTTGCTGTTGCTGGGGTTTGAACCCAGGCAACTGTTGGCCTTGCGCGTGCATGGCTGCTCCCGTAATACACTCGCCATACTGTATGTACGGCTTTGTAGTGTGGCACGTTGCTGTTGAATGGTGCGTGCCAGCTATTTACCCCCTCCCCCTCCCCGTCGGCGAACAGCGACCAGCACGGCAGCAACGGCCGGGTTGCTAACCCCCTGGACGCTGCTTCCTACGCACGTGGCAGTCGGCTCTGAAGACTGAAGAACCCCCCTGGCTAGGGGGCTGCGCCACATTATTTTTTTGTACTATTTTGCTACTGCTGCAGCAGCAGTTTTGCAATAGCTCAAGCTTTTCCCCCTGGCTAGGGGGCTGTGTGACTGTGGCAGTAGGGTGGTTGATCAAGATCTCAGCCAACCCTAGATCATCATCATCATAATCCTGTTATTGTTGTGGCATCAGGCCAGTAGCACTTTGAAGGCCAAGATCCTGTGGATCTTGGTAGTGCTTTGCTCTTGGCCAACCAAGAGTCTGGTATTATCTCTCTCCACTAACCTACCCTCCCCCAACCCCTTTTCTCTCCCCCCCCCATCATCTAATCATCCTTTCTAACTCTACCACTACCCCCACTCCTCCCACTTCCCTCTTCACTCATCTCCCACCACCTTTTTCTCTCCTCTCCTCCCCACTCACCATCTTCTACTAATCTCATCTCCCCCATCTCTCACTTCACTCCTTTTCTCTCTCTCACCTATTTCTCTCTTCTTCATCACTCTTTCATCCCCTTGCCCCCCCTCTACTTAGAATGTTTTTGTTTTTCTTCTTTTCCCTCTCCCATTGATTTCGATTTCTCTTTTTTCCAAAAATTCGAATTATCTTATTTCCCCCCCTCCCTTCTCTTTTTTTTTTTT